CAAAGAAAAGGAAGATGTGCAAAAACANACATTCATTCATTCATTCATTCATTCATTCATTCGTTCATTCATTCATTCATTCATTCATTCATTCATTCATTCATTCATTTACTCATTCATTCATTCATTTACTCATTCATTTACTCTTTCATTCATTTACTCATTCATTCTTTCATTCATTCATTTACTCATTAATTAATTCATTCATTCATTTACTCATTCATTCATTCATTTACTCATTCATTCATTCATTTACTCATTCTTTCATTCATTTACTCATTCATTCTTTCATTTACTCATTCATTCTTTCATTCATTTACTCATTCATTCATTCATTTACTCATTCTTTCATTCATTTACTCATTCATTCATTCATTCATTTACTCATTCATTCATTCATTTACTCATTCATTCTTTCATTCATTTACTCATTCATTCTTTCATTCATTTACTCATTCATTCTTTCATTCATTTACTCATTCATTCATTCATTCATTCATTCTTTCATTCATTTACTCATTCATTCATTCTTTCATTCATTTACTCATTCATTCATTCTTTCATTCATTTACTCATTCATTCATTCTTTCTTTCATTCATTCTTTCATTCATTCATTCATTCATTTACTCATTCATTCATTCTTTCATTCATTTACTCATTCATTCATTCTTTCATTCATTTACTCATTCATTCATTCATTCATTCTTTCTATCTGTAGGTTGTATAGATAATGAACAGCCCAGTCATGGTAAAATGTTACAGAGTATATATAGAATATTAACAGGTTCTAGGTTTGATTCACCAAGAATAGGTTCACATTGGGAAGAGATCGGATTTCAAGGTATGTTTTATATTTTTATTTAGATAGTTAGACAGAAAACATCACACCTGTTAGTGATATGTGCCTAATTAAAAGTGTGCCTATATGTCATTATGCCAAATATAAATGTGCAAATATTGACTGTTTACCCATTATCATACCCATGTACATTGCCGCAGTGGAATAGCTCCGGTTGCAGTCTGCTAGGTGATTAATTACTTTGATTGAAACACCTAAAGTTGGGCTAGAATTGTATTAGTTATCATATCCACCTCAATATTAACATAATTATATTGTATTTATAGGTAGCGATCCTGGTACCGATCTACGAGGTGTTGGAATTCTGGGATTAGTTCAGTTATTGTACTTCCTACAGCATACTAAATATGGTCAGATAGCTCGAGATATCTATAAACTCTCCCTACATCCTACACAGGTCAGCCCACATTCCTGGCTTCAATTATTCTCATCACTTATTTCTAAAGATTTCCTCCTTACTTATTTGAAAATCAATTCATTAGGTGTTCACTGATTCCAGATGGACTCATACTGTATATTTGGGCATATACATACCAAGAAAAGACCTCACCAAACTGGAGGTGCATTAAAGAAAGTAACAAAACTATTGAATTATAGTCAGCATAGTGTTTCCCTTTTAGTTTTATTTCTGTGAATTATAAAAATAACATATAATATGACTATAATGATTATATTGATAATGAATGTCTCATGAATTTGCTTACTTTGCTGTTTTTAACACTTTCACCAAAGAAGCTCACCAAATTTGAATTACCTGTTTGATAATATATAATATTTTTGTAGAATTTCCCGTTTTGTGTTATGGGTATTAATATCAGTAGAATATGTTTACAATCTTTACGAGAAGATTTTTTAAACAAGTAAGTTTTTTTTTTTATTTTATCATATTGAATTACATTGAGGACCAAAGAAGTGATAAATTTAACATCCCTGGATAAAAAATATCTAATATAAGCTGAAAGAATTTGTCACTGTGTTGCTGTG